ATGTAGATCTCCTATTGGATGGTTTGAAGTTGGTGAAGCATAGTTGATAGGACCAGATTTAGCTCACCAAGCTATGGAGAGGGTGAAAGTGATTCAAGAGAGGTTGAAAACGGCGCAGAGTCGTCAGAAATCCTACACTGATGTTAGGAGAAGGGCGTTAGAGTTTGAAGTAGATGATTCGGTTTATTTGAAAGTCTCACCCATGAAGGGGGTTATGAGGTTTGGTAAGTAGGGGAAACTTAGTCCCCGGTATATTAGACCTTACCGAATAGCTAAGAGAATTGGCAATGTTGCTTATGAGTTGGAGTTACCACAGGAACTAGAAGCGATTCATCCGATATTTCATATCTCCATGTTGAAGAAGTGCATAGGCGATCCTTCATTGATCCTACCGACTGGAAGTATTAAGATCAAGGATAATTCATCTTATGAGGAGGTTCCTGTTCAGATTCTAGATCGTCAAGTTCGTAGGTTGAGAACGAAAGATGTAGCCTCAGTCAAGGTCCTATGGAGGACCCAATTTGTTGAGGAAGCAACTTGGGAAGCCGAAGAAGACACGAAGAAGAGATATCCACATCACTTTGAATCCAGAGGAAATGCAGATTAAGGTATTGATTTCCTTCTTAGTGCTCTTTTAATTATAATGAGCATGTTGTGTTTGCATGATTGCTTGTTGGGTGTTTGAGTTTGATGTTACACCCTTAGATTTGTAAGAGTAACCTCATTCGAGGACGAATGTTCCCAAGGGGGAGATATTGTGACATTCCGCAATTAGAAATATCTATGAAGAGGATTAAAAATCAGAAATAGTCATTTTTGGAAGGAATTCAAAAATCTGGAAATTTGGCTAAGTGTGGAAATCAGTGAGTTTTGGCCAACTTTGAGCAGTCGTAACTCCTATCTCAGGATGAGTTAGGAGTAGTTCTAGTTATGGTTATGAAGCTTCTGGAATGATCTTTCCAACACCACTGAGTTTGGTAGATTCCGAGTTCGTATGAGAGAGTTATGGCCATTGAAAGTTGGGCAGTTGGCAGGGAATCCGTCTGGAAATTTTAAGGCCATTTTGGTCTTTTCCCTAGCCATTTCTTTTGGGATTATATTGTGTGTTAGGCTGATGTTGGATCATTTTTATCCCATTTTAACAGAGAAAGAGTTAGGGATCTTGAGTGAAGAAGAGAAGAAGAGAGAAAGAAGAGAAGAAGAAGAGAAGATCAAGGAGTTTCCGTCAAAGATCGTCGTGGAAATCGTCGGGGGTGATCCCTACCAAGGTATGTGAGCTCTTAGTGTGGTTTTGATCCTTTCCCCCACACACCCAACCCATTGTTATTGAGAAAATATTGGATATGTTGTTGAAGTTGTTGTTGTTGAGGTTGTTGATGTTATTGATTGTGTTGTTGAAGTTATTGATGGTTGTGGGACATGATTTGGTTGTATATTTGAGTTGTAATCTATTGTATGTTGAGAGATTGATGATCCTTAGTGTTTGGGGTTGAATCCATTGAAGTAAGGGTGGTTTAGAGTTGGCAAAACAAGAGAGAAAAGTCGAGTTTTCTGGGCTAGAGGTTGGCGCATCGCGCCTGCCAGCGCGCCCCAAAGGGGACTCTGAGGTCCAGCCCTTGGGGCGGCACGCCACTCAGAGCGCCAGCAGGTGACTTCTGACCTTCAAGGGCTGGCGCTCCGCGCCTTGCAGAGCGCCAAGGACGCCATGTTCCCCTTTTCTTTCCATGCTTTCTCATGCATGTTCCTAGGTGTTATACCTATGTTCCCAAGTTGTTTCCAACACCCCAAAGTGTTTCTAAACATCCCGAACTCGTCCAAATACGTGTGATCATATACCTTGAATCCATAGTTCAATTCAAGGCAAGTTAGCATCAAGTTAAAGAGAAGTTAGAGTCAAGTCAAGTAATGTTAAGAAGTAAGTTCAAGCAAGTCCTCCAAACTTTTCAAGAGTGCTCATTGAACGTTTTAACTTCATTCTAAGGCTCCAGTTCCTAGTTAAGTATACAGTTTCAAGTCGAGTAAAGAGTATCGAGTTTCAAGTTAAGTTAAGAGTTTGAAGTTGAGTTCATTCTCAAAGTTATTAGGGAACTGTGTATTCCCAAAGAAGTTTTAAAGAAATGTTTTTACCTTTAAACAAGTTTGGAAACTGAGATTTCCCAAAGAGCCTTCGGGCTAGTTTTTGAGTAATTATCTCATATCAGCAGGAAGAAATATGTTTTAAAAACATAAGAGCCAGTACATTTTTGGGAGCAGTATCGAGCACCGAATTGGGGGAGCGTTCAAAGAACCCACAGCCCCCGTAGAACCATGTTAGCCACTATGGGTAGAAAAGGATCATACTTTTTAGATAAATCCTTTTCAGATTAGACTAGTGGATCCATTAGGCAGTTCAGGTCTTATACCTTTGGCCGGGTATAAGATGCTCTGGCAGCGTGAGGTCAATCGTTGTATCATCGCTATAGCTCTCATGGGATGGTTGTCGGTTAGAGAAACTCCCACAGCAGTTATTGTATTTTCATACACAGAAATTATTGTATTTTTATATACATCAGTTCATTGTATTTTTATATACATCTCAGGCTTATTGTATCTTTGTATACACACAGAGTTTATAGCATGTTTTAAATAGTCTTTCTTTATATCGCACTTGTTTTAAGTTGCCTTATATTGGAAGAAGTCAGTCAGGTTGAGTTGAATTGAGTTGAGTTGAGTCAGGTAAGCTATCCAGTTTCTTCCAGAATTCCTTCTAGCCTTTGTTGCTTAGTTTTCCAGCTCGCATACTCGTACATTCCATGTACTGATGCCAGTTGGCCTACATCTTATGATGATGCAGCTACAGGTACCTCGGATCAGCATCCTGCACGTTGTTGATCTAGCTGAGCACTCCAGAGTCAGTTGTGAGCCTCCCTGCCTTCTGGAGGACTCAATTATTTTGTGTACTTAGTTTTGTTCTATTAGGATGTTGCGGGGTGTGTCCCAACATCCATCCAAGTATCTTAGAGGCTTCATAGACAGTCAGTCAGTTAGTTTTGAGTCTCTCTTCTATGTATATATGTAAAGATTCTATTTTGAGACTCGAGTTGCCCTTTTGTGCCAGATCTTTATCAGTTAAGTTGTTATGTCTTTGCATGGCATTGAGTTATTCTGTTGAGTTAGGTTTCCGATGAGTCAAGAAAGCCAGGCCAAGGGTTCGCCTGGGGCCAACAATGGTCTCTGGGTGCCGGTCCCGCACAGGGTGTAGGCTCGGGGCGTAACAACTAGTCACATGCAACATAACTTATGTATCAAATTTCGACATTCTAATACTCATCTCCTTAAGAAAAAGGAAAAGGAAGAAATAACTTCAAAAAAAACTGATATGCATTACTCATTCCACTAGTTATATGATTCTCTACAAATTTCATACCTTTTTTTCAAATTCAAGCTGTTTTCACTTTTTTCATATCTAATTTCATTCTATCACTTCATTTCAAAATTCATGAATAACTTAAAATTCAAGTTGTTTTCACTTTTTTTCCCTCCCAATCAATCACAAAAACTCAAAAACAACTCCAATTTATATTCACAACCAAACACAACTCCGATTTTTAATTGAAATCGGAGTTGTGTTTGGTTGTGAATATAAATTGGAGTTGTTTTTGAGTTTTTTCGAGTGATTTGGAGGGAAAAAGTACCTTTTTTTCAAATTCTCTCAATTTTCCTGGCCAAACTCCCTTACGTATAAAATCTATTAGCAAAAGCATGCATATCTCCACACAAACACACGCAAAAAAACCTTAACCCTAGTTTCATCAAAACAAAATTCAGGATACAAAAACAAACAGAAAAAAATATCTTGTTTTTCATCCCCGTATGTTCAACTCTAAACAAAATGGAAACTAAAAAAAGGTCCTCCCGCCGACCAATTCACCGGAAAAAACATCAAAACTTCATCCACATCTCAAATGTGTTTAGTTTTTACATTTTTTTCCAAAACAAAGCAACATTCAATAGATAAACAAGTAATGCAGATGAGTAAAAAAAACTTATAGGAATCCATCAAATTCAGCAATAGGTAGGAATCTGCTATTGAAATCGGAGGTTGATGAAGCAAAGTAGCTTAACAAAGAAGGAAGCAATCTTGAGCTTAACACTCCAATGGTGGCTTTTGCTTCTTCAAATATTTTTGGTACTAAGTAACAGAAGAATGTGAGTAGGATATGAGTTAATTCTTTGTCTTTATGTGAGACTTTTTGAGAAATTGACTAAAATGGTACTTAATTTACTAGTAATGTTTTATTTTGGTCTTTTAAATATATTTTAGAAATAATTTCAATTATATATAATAAATTATTAATTAATTTATAATAAATATAGTCATATAATTAAAAAATCATTGAAAGTGTACATTGACTATTTATATACTAATATGGAGTAGTTTATTAAAAGTCATATATAGTATATAATGAGTCCTGACTATTTAATATAGTGTATCTATACATGACGATATACTCAAAAAACTAAATATAGCTTCATTATATATGAAGTATACATTGATTATACATGAAGTATGCATTGACTATTCAATCTCAATCAGTGCAAAATCACCAATAAATAGTACCAAAATTTAGATATGAAATCCTCTCGATGCTTTGAGTCTTTTGATATATAATTCACTTGAAACGATTCATGTTTGCGGTACATCAAATTTTATATTGTTATATACCAAAACTGTATGGATTTTTTTGATAAAAATATGACCTTGGTGCAAATATCATGGGGTAACTTTCCCAACATGACTTTCTTCATAATAGTTTTTCTCTTTCTTTCCTATTCATTTTAAACAGTCTATTCCCCATTGATAGAACCATTTTTTTCTCTAGACAGCATTGTTAACAAATATAGGATCTTTTTGGCTTAGATATTGAGACATAAAACTTTTAAATCATAGTTCTTGAGAAGAGATGATCTCTGTCAAGGAATAAAGAGATTTGCTATAACACGAAGAGAACAAGAAGAAAATGATGTTAACAAATGAAGAATTACTTGCAGATTGGCAAATAGGTGATGGAGTAAGGTCACTCTTAGCTTTCTATTCTCCAGAAGCTTCTAACTCAAATGGAATTAGTTAGACATTGTGATGGATCGATTCGTTTGAGCTTTATTAAATTGCTGCGTATATGAACTCGATCATCTGTTGTTTCAGTCAGCATTGTGATCACAAGCCTTGGTGCTGATTTCACCAAGTTGGAATCTTTCGGGAAAGTTGATGCTTTTGCTGAGAATCTGGTGCGGATTTATCCATACCTACTTTGAAAAAAAACTCTCTGTTCCTTCTTATTTTAATGCTTCATTTGGCGTTCTTACTTCGGTCCTCAATGATTTTTAACAGGTTAGTGGATTAGACAGAAGTTGGCAAAGACCGCTACGAGTGAAAGCAAAACTCATAGATAGCAAAGCTTCTAAGGGTATATAACACAATCTAAAACACTCGCTAAAACTTGCCTCAATGCAATGGTTATTTGAGGTTTACTTATAAATCGAACAGAGTCTGTTTATAAAGCCATGAAATGGAATGCATACTATTGTGCCTACACAATTGGAAAGTGCTATTATGAAATGATTTTTGTTAAGTCAAGAAGAAAAACTCTCATTCCTAGAGTTTAGAACACGTAAACTTAAAATCTTGAATCCGCCTCTGCCATTTAAGAAACTAAGTGAGTTTATCTCGCTGAAGTAGTTGTGACTATGCTTCAATGTTTAGGAGTTTATACTTGCACATGATGTGAGGACGTTCAATCTTTTGAGCCGTTGATAATTGTCACTCTTATTAATCAGGGTTGTATTACATCGAGTACACTCTCCAAAATCCCGGTGAAAGTCCCAGACATCTATTTTCTGTGCTTGGGATATCAGACAATGGGATTTACAACAGACTGTATACTCTCACTGGACAGGTCAGCTAAACAAAGCGAAAAGACACACATTAAACTTACTTGGCTTGAGGATGATGAAGAGTTCGATAGACTGTAACGTTGACAAGATTTAATTTATCTCGCAGTTTGTAGATGAGGAGGCAGTGCAATATGGTGCCAAAATACAGAAGGTAACTTTAAGATCATTTTCTTTTTGTTTTGTGTTTGCTAATTTTTTGAGTGAAGATATGCATCACAAAAATGTCTGTAGTATCTCAAAAGAAAGTATCCCTCGTGGATTAGGAAGAACTCTTTTTTTCGTAATAAGGAATTGTAAACTTTGATAGGCTTTGTAAAGAGATGTAGAGATAAAAAAAAAAAGTATGTGCTTGCACACATGAGAAATGGGGTTGAAGGCAAAAGAGGTGGATTTGCCCCTGCACGCGAGATATATATAAGGCCTAATCGAATTCTGATTTTGCAAAAATTAATCTGATTCGTTTGAGCTTACATGAATAAAGTCCAAATTCATGTTTTTTTAACTCCATATAATGGCGCCTTCATTTCATTGTGGATTGTTATGAGTGATGTTCTGAATACATAAAATATTCTCCTCATTTCTTTCCAAGCTTGTGAGTGATTTTGAATCCTGGATTCATAATCCCTTCTCTAACCAAACATGAATCTTTCTATTCATTTGTCTCTCACGAGACAGTGTCATCAATGACACACTCAAGCTTTTCATTTAAGAGTTTGAATGTGCTGATATGTTGAAGTAAGTTGCATCACATTTCATATTAACTCAAGGTTTTCATCAGAAATTTTGTCTATTTTTGCAAAATATTTTGTGGCTTGGCGGATATATTTTCACAGTTTTACCAATACGCGTCATTTCCTTTCTAAGGTTGTTTAGTATCACAGATTCTGTTAGATCACAGGAAGGATATCGCTTGTGTGAATAATATTATGTTGCAATGTCCTATTTTGTGCATAAAATCTTCGCTGCTTATTGTTTGTTAAAGTGAGGATTTTGTGCAATAACGGTTATGCAAGTCATTTAATCTGATGTTATATTCAAGTGAATCAATGTTTGAAGTTTCTTGCAATGTGAGTAGGGGTGATCATGGTTTGGTTTGGATGGGTTATTGGTTAAAATCAAACCAATTTAGTAGGTTTATAAATTTCTAAAACGAAGCCAAATGAAAAAAATAACTGTCGATTTGGTTGTTGTCGGTTTGGTTCGTTTTGGTTCAGATTTTTTTATTTTTTTGGTTTGAAAGTAATAAATTAAATTCGTTGAGAGTATACGCGTCTCGATAGACACAATCACCTAATACATGAACAATCCACAAAAAAGTTATTATGTATTCAATTAAGCAATACTAGAGTTATTATTACATAAATAAACTGATTCAATTAAGAGAAAGTGTGACTATCTAATATGGCGTAGGGTAGGTAAAGATTAAAGTAATAGATTTTGATGAACTTCGTCTTAGAGTTTTAATAGTTCGGCTAAAATGTAAGTGTTGGGCTTGAGAAATGATAAAGTTAAGACTTAAGTTAATTAAAATTTAAATAATTATAAATTTTTATATATAATTTCATGGTTTGGTTTTATTTTTTTGCGGTTTTTTTTAGCAAAACCAAAACCAAACCAAATAGTATCGGTTTTCAAAATTTAAAACCAAACCTAACCAAACCACACCAACTATCGGATTTTTCAATCGATTCGGCTAGGATTGCGGTTCGATTTTATTTTTTTACCATAATCATGAACAACCCTACGTGTGAGTTATAATTAACTTATGAATTTTGGCTGATTTTCACTCTTGGCTTATATGTACTTTTGATTTGACACATACAAAATACATTGTATTAATTATGCATTATGACAAATTAACAAGTTTATATAATTATAAGATGTATATATACCACCATAATAATTATGTAATGATTTAGATTGGTTATTTTTAGAATTTTAAGTGAAATTATCATTTTACCCCTCCCGATATTGGTCCTGAGTCACTTCTGACTGGATTTTAAAATTGGTTTCGAGTTTTGAGTAAAAAGTTGGGTGTTATGAAAATTTTTGAGTTTAAAACGCTAAAGTTGTTAAAAAGTGGTCTTCGATTTCTTTCGGAGTTTCAAGTTTCAGAATGAAATTCCGTCAATTTCATTAGTCCAGAAATATGAAAATTGATCTAAGTGAGTTGTCAATTTCAGACTCGGAGTCTTTTTGTGGATTTGAGGTCCTAAGTTGGAAATTGTTAAGATTTTACCCTTTGAGGTGACTTTGGTCAATATTCGGGGTTGAATGCTTAGATTGAATTTCTAACAGTTCCGTTGGATTCAGGGGTGATTTTAGGCCTAGAAAAGATCCTAGATGAATTATCAGAGCCCCGAGATTGATTTGGCCATTTTAGGCGTTATATTTACTTTTTGTGACTTTTATGGGTTTTGGGTCAAGGAGACATCAGATTCGTGTTTCGACGATTCTATTGATTTTAGAACGTCGAGTAACATATTTGGTTGTGTACTCGGGGTTTCGAACGAATCCCCAGGGTCTATTCAAAAATTTTATATCTTGTGTGATTTACTGGTTTCTATTTTCTAGTGCCCGGTATGTTGTCCATCGCGAGCACGAGACCTTTTCTCACAATCGCGTAGGGTCTATGTGTTGGTCAACGAGATCACGTGAGTGCTAGTCGGGATTGTGATGGTTAACTTTAAGGAGTTGACTCTCTTACCCATTGCGATCGTGAGGCCTTGGGTCGCAATAGCAATGAGCAATTTTAGCCAAAGAGAGTGTTTTGCAAAAATCAGGATTTCAACCCTATTTCACCAGTTTTGAATGTTAAGAGTTTGGTTATGGACGATTTCAAAAGGGTTTTCAAGATTCAACTTTTGGGTAACGATTTCTACATCGTAAACCCTATTGATTAATGAATTATTTTGATAATTAAAATAGAATTTTACTCCCACTTGAAAAGGGTCTTGAAAAGGTCGAAGGAATTTGATAAATTCATGATTTTGAGTTGATTCTAACTTCATTTTCGAAATGATTTTTACCTTTGGGTTCTAAATGTTTTGGATAACATATCCAAGTAACAATTTTCAGATTCAAACCTTCCATTTGAAATCGGGTTTTTGAGCCAATTTGACCCATTTATTCGAATTGCTTGATATGGGTGTTGTTAGTTCCAAAATCTCATTGTGAATAATTGTTTCACTAAATTGTGTTGATTTGGATATCGTTCGAAAGGAAAAGACTCAAGTCTTTGATTGATTAAGGCAAGTGAACTTCTTAACCTTGTTAAAGTTTGTAGAATATTGAATTCTCTTTTTTGTATGTGTTGGGGAGTAATAGAAATGATGTGATGGGATAAATGCTCAAATTGAACAACCTTAATGATAGAAACCAGGTTAATGAAAAGGCAACTCGTTAATAATGTTGTATTGAGTTGTGTGAATTGCCTTGAGTGTTGATATTAAATTGGTGGTTGATGAAATACTTTGATAGTATTATAGTGGATGTGAATTACTTGAATTTTTCATTTCCTCATTATTGTATGAACATGTTTATTTGCATTGGTTCTAAAACTGTCACATCCCGAGCCTACACCCTGAGCGGGACCGGCACCCGGAGACCATTGCTGGCCCCAGGCGAACCCTTGGCCTGGCTTTCTTGACTAAGCGTAAGCCTAACTCAACAGAATAACTCAATGTCATGCAAAGACATAACAACTTAACTGATAATGATCTGGCCCAGGGCAACTCGAGTATCAAAATAGAATCTTTACGAATATACATAGAAGAGAAACTCAAAACTAACTGACTGACTGTCTATGAAGCCTCTAAAATACTGAGATTGATGTTGGGACAGACCCCGCAACATCCTAATAGAACAAAACTAAGTACACAAAATAATTGAGTCATCCGGAATGCAAGGAGGCTCACCACTGACTCTGGAGTGCTCAACTGGATCAACGACGTGCAGGATGCTGATCTGGGGTACCTGTATCTGCATCGTCATAAGATGCAGGCCAACTAGCATCAGTACATGGAATGTACGAGTATGCGAGCTGGAAAACTAAGCAACAAAGGCTAGAAGGAAATCTGGAAGAAACTGGATAGCTTACCTGGCTCAACTCAACTCAACTCAACCTGACTGACTTCTTTCAATATAAGACGATTTAAAACAAGTGCGATATAAAGAAAGACTGTTTAAAACATGCTATAAACTCTGTGTGTATACAAAGATACAATAAGCCTAAGATGTATATAGAAATACAATGAACTGATGTATATAAAAATACAATAATTTATGTGTATGAAAATACAATAACTGTTGTGGGAGTTTCTCTAACCGACAACCATCACATGAGAGCTATAGTGATGATACAGCGATCGACCTCACGCTGCCAGAGCATCTTATACCCGGCCAAAGGTATAAGACCTGAACTGCCTAATGGATCCACTAGTCTAATCTGAAAAGGATTCATCTAAAAAGTATGATCTTTTTTCTACCCATGGTGGCTAACATGGTTCTATAGGGGCTATGGGTTCTTTGAACGCTCCCCCAATTCGGTGCTCGATACTACTCCCAAAAATGTACTGGCTCTTATGTTTTTAAAACATATTTCTTCCTGCTGGATATGAGATAATTACTCAAAAACTTGCCCGTAGGCTCTTTGGGAAATCTCAGTTTCCAACCTTGTTTAAATGTAAAAACATTTCTTTAAAACTTCTTTGGGAATACATAGTTCCCTAATAACTTTGAGAATGAACTCAACTTTAAACTCTTTACTCAACTTGAAACTCTTAACTTAACTTGAAACTCGATACTCTTTACTCGACTTGAAACTGTATACTTAACTTGGAACTGGAGCCTTAGAATGAAGTTAAAACGTTCAATGAAGACTCTTGAAAAGCTTGGAGGACTTGCTTGAACTTACTTCTTAACATTACTTGACTTGACTCTAACTACTCTTTAACTTGATGCTAACTTGCCTTGAATTGAACTATGGATTCAAGGTATATGATCACACATATTTGGATGAGTTCGGGATGTTTAGAAACACTTTGGGGTGTTGGAAACAACTAGGGAACATAGGTATAACACCTAGGAACATGCATGAGAAAGCATGGAAAGAAAGGGGGAACATGGCGTCCTTGGCGCTCTGCAAGGCGCGGAGCGCCAGCCCTTGAAGGTCAGAAGTCACCTGCTGGCGCTCTGAGTGGCGTGCCACCCCAAGGGCTGGACCTCAGAGTCCCCTTTGGGGTGTGCTGGCAGGCGCGACGCGCCAACCTCTAGCCCAGAAAACTCGACTTTTCTCTCTTGTTTTGCCAACTCTAA